TCAGTGGACATGTTTGCCGTTTGGCCTAAAGACATCGCCAGCAATATTTCAAAGAATTTTATCAAACATAATGAGAAAACATGGATTAAAAGACTTTACAGAAAATTATATAGATGATTGCCTAATTTTTTCAGAGACTTTTGAAGAGCATCTAATACATATAGAACAGGTATTAAATGCAATTATACAAGAAGGATTCAGATTAAAATTTAAAAAATGTGCATTTGCATCAAGATCGGTTAAATACTTAGGACACATAATTGGAGATAACACAGTGCAACCTATAAAAGATAATTTAGTTTCAATTAGAAATTTTCCAACCCCAAAATCTCAGAAAAATATCAGACAATTTTTAGGAAAGGTTAATTTTTATCACGAGTATATTCCAAGGAGTTCAATAATATTGGATCCATTACACAGATTGCTAAGGAAAGATGTGAAATTTGAATGGTCTGAAGAGTGTGAGAAATCATTTACGGAGATGAAAAAACTGTTGTGCTCCCAGCCTGTACTAGAAATTTTTGACAGAAATCTACCTATAAAAATATACACGGACGCATCGATAGAAGGTATAGGTGCAATATTAAAACAAGTGCAACTTAATGGAGAAGAAAAACCAGTCGCGTATTTTTCAAAGAAAATAAGTGATTCTCAGAAGAAGAAAAAAGCCATTTATTTAGAGTGCATGGCTATTAAAGAAGCGGTGAAATATTGGCAACACTGGTTGATTGGACGAAGATTTGAAGTTTACTCGGACCACAAACCCTTGGAAAACCTTAATATCAAAGCTAGAACAGACGAAGAATTGGGCGATTTAGCCTACTATCTATCGCAATACGACTTCGTAATCAAATATGTACCAGGTAAGAATAATATTGAAGCGGATTGTTTGAGTAGAAATCCCGTTTTAAATTCAGAAGAAAATGTAGATGAAGCACTAAAAATAGTAAACTTAATAAATCTAAATGACATAAAACTAGACCAAAAAAATAATAAAATAATAGATAAGATGCATAGAAGTATAGAAAAAGAGAATAAAATATTTTACAAGAAAGGTAAGAAATCAAAAAAAATAATCCTCTCTGAAGCCTTAAGTTTACGTCTGATAAAAGAAACACATTATGAGTGGTGTCATATTGGCATAAGACAAACAATAAATAGAATATGCCCGAACTACACGGCAAAGAATTTAATAGAAAATATAAAAAAAATTTGTAGAAACTGCGAAATATGCAAAATGAACAAATCAAGAGGACAGGAAAAAATCGGATTATTATCTCAACTTGGACCAGCAACTAGACCTTTTGAAATTATGTCAATAGACACGATTGGTGGTTTTGGTGGAAACAGATCAACAAAGCGATATTTACACTTGTTAGTTGATCATTACACGAGATACGCAACGATTTCAACGTCGAAACACCAAAATGCACATGAATTTATTAAATTAGTAAATGAAATAGCAAAAACAGAGAAAATTGAAACAATATTAACAGATCAGTATCCAGGATTAAATTCAAAGGTATTTAAGGAATTTTTGGACAGTAAAGATATTACATTACTTTTCACTGCAATAAATTCACCATTTTCAAACGGACTTAATGAAAGATTAAATCAAACTTTAGTCAATAAAATAAGGTGCAAAATCAATGAAAAACACGAAAATAGAGCTTGGACGACAATAGCGAGAGAGTGTGTAGACAGATATAATATTACAGAACATTCAGTCACTGGTTTTACACCAAAATATTTATTAGATGGCACAAACACGGATTTACTACCAGAAGAATTGCAATTAAACAAGGATAAAGAAAAATGGATTAAAGATAGAAAAACAGCAACGGAGAGATCTATAAGATCACATAATTATAATAAGAAATTATACGATAAGAATAGAAAACAACATAAAATCACAACAGGAGATTGGGTATATGTTGAAAATGGAAACAAATTAAACAGGAAAAAACTAGATAGCTTAAAAATCGGACCATTTGAGATTATAGATAAGTTATCAGATTCTATTTTCAAAATAAAAACAGGAAAACGAAATCAAGATTCAGGTTTTTACCACATCTCAAAGCTCACTGTCGTCCCCACTTTCCGGCCGCGGGATAAAATATCCGAGCCCTGGGCCACACTGCTTTGGATTAATCTGGATACTCGCTCGCCGAACGTCGAGCTGTTAGTATCGTGTGACCAGTAGTGACCAGTAAGTTTTTACATTGCGACCAGGAGTGCCTTTTTTAACTTTCATAGTTAGTTTCTAACTTTAGTACATATCGAAGTGGCCGATAAATCGGCAGATTTCAAAAAATTCATCGTAGTCTCAAAAAACCTATGGTCTTGGAGACTCGGCTCATAAATGAGCAAAATTTTTCAAATTTAGAAAAAGCTTTAACCATTTCGACCCGGGGGGGTCTCGAGAAGGAGGAGAGAAGGCTTAACGAGTCTTCGTCTGCCGGTTTGAAGGCTCTGAAAGCCCTAAGCAGAGCTCAGGTAAAGCACTCTGGTACTGATTCAATCGCTCCAAATCAATCTGTTCACGATCTGGATGCCGAGACGGGATATTTCTCTCCATGCGACTCGGACACGTCTGAATCTCGAGTAGCAAGCCCTTCAAATTACACGCATTGGAATAAAGTCATAAAACTCATTAACGTGCCGGCGGATCGGCTGGTTAAGTCATATATAAATCTTAAAACTAAAATCAGTACCTCGCAGCTAAGAGAAATTATGGCGAGAAGGGTTTCTCCGAGAAACTCTTTGTCTTTGGACAAAGAGACGGCAAAAACCGTTGTTCAAACCGCCACGTGCTCGGGACCGAGCGTCGACAAAATGGAGGCGGTCCCGAACGTTCCAACCTCAAACCGTTACGGCTTGCTAGCGCTCGCCTTCGATTCAAATAATGATTCTCCAAAAACATCTAGACAAAATATCCCTGAAACAGGAAAAAATATGACTTCTAACCCCGATGTCAAAACCAATACTGGCATGGAGAGAAGGATCTCGGCTAAGGTTCCTCCGATCTTTGTTTCGAACTTCTGCTCCGCCTGGGCGTTTGAAAAACAGTTGACGGAGTTGTGTGGGAAATCATTTAAATTAGAACTGTTGAAAAAAGGAATACAGGTCCAATTTAACAATGTCGAAGCACATGACTACTCGTCAAAGTTCTAAAAGATAATAGGGGGTTTTTCACGTTTACAAAAAACTCTGACAGGGTGCTCAGTGTTGCCCTTAGAGAATTGCCAGCCACCCCTGTTAATGAAGTGGTAGATGAGATCCGAAGAGCGGGACTCTCTCCGCTAAATGGGTCCCTTATTGGGAAGTCTCCTAGTAAACCCATACATAGAATAAATTTTCCCGCAGGCACCAGTTTAAGTGCGGTCAATAAACTCGGTTATATTTTCTCAATCAGAGTATACTGGGAAAAGTTTTATTCAAATAACTATACTCAGTGTTTTAGGTGCCAAGCTTTTGGCCATTCCGCTTCAAACTATAACATGGCGCCTAAATGCGTAAAATGTGGAGACAATCATCATTCCTCAGAATGCAAAAAACCAAAAGATACTCCTGCTAAATGCGCTAATTGCACAGGAAGTCATAAAGCAAACTTCTCGGGCTGCCCGTCCCTCGAGAAATATCTTAAACTTAGAGATCAACCCCTCTCGTACATCAGACAGAATGGGACCAGGCCTTTTCCTGTCGAGCCCCTAGACTCACCTAGGGCCACAACCAGGCCGGGCACTTCTTATTCAGAGGCTCTAAAAGGCAAGAAACAATCGGTTTCCAAAAATGTATATAGTGTAAATAGTGTAAATAGTTTATATAATAATATTCATAAATTAGGCAATAAGGAATTTCATACCCCTCAGACCACTGAGGTGAGGGTCTGAGTGAATTGTTTAACGAATTTAGTACTCTTAATGCCTTAGTCGATGTAAATTTAATGCTTAATACGGTAAGGGTACTAAACGATAAACTAAAAAAGTACTCTAATAACAGAGAAAAATTCCAAGTTTTCCTGTCTGTTATGAGTAGTCTTGTTTAAATGCCAGATTTTCCTAAAATTTTATTATGGAACCTAAGGTCGTTCAGAAAACAGAAACTAACTTCTGCTTTTAATTACTAAGGAGCAACCAGATATTGTTCTCCTTATGGAAACGAACTTATCTGTAAATGATGTTGCCAGTGTACCTGGTGTTACCAACGTGAACTTGAGTGTATGGACGGGAATTGCGACTTCTAAAGGCGAGCGTTTCAACGTAGCGGTTTAGACACCGCGGCGTAGGCCACGTGCACGACAGTTCGAATTTGGGATCGTCGGGTCCGCTTTCCTCGTCTCCAACCGATGACGGTTGATAATGCCCAATCCCCACAGACCTTGCGGTGCGGTGCGGTGCGGCGTTTTTCGAGCCGACCGTGAGCTCGACCAGGGCCGAAAACCAAGTTTACAGCATATACTGAAAGCGTGTAAAAGCCGGAGGCTTCGAGGGGCCCCAGAGAAGTTGCGTCGAAACTTAGGAGATCGAGGACTAAGAGTACGGTCAAACCACCCGCTGTTCACTTTCAAATAGGTTTTTAAGTCCCAAAAAGGTCGATTTTTATGGCCTGTGCGGCGTTCAGGAAAAAATCGCAGCCTGCGATTTTTTCCCGAACGCCGCATGCGAACTTTCTGTAGGAGATTCTTCCAGCTTGCAAAAAACAAGTATAATAATATACTATAATAATGATAACTATTTTTTTAAATCATATTCACTTTTCTCAATTTTAAATATAATTTAAAACAGATACAAATAAAGAAATCATTAAGATATTTATTTCATCGTTTCATCATGGGTTGTTACGTTGTTTTATTTCCGAAAGAAATGCGTCTTTTGATAGAAACCAATTTTTTGTACATTATTATGTTAATGATATACGATGGTCAAGTTGGTTGTTTCAAATGGGACGGCATACATTTCTTTTTTTACCATTGATTTTTAAGGACGATTTCATTTAATCCTTCATGTATATCGATTTGCTTGATTAGATTTTGAGGTGTTCTATTGAAGAAGTTTATTATTTTACTCATTTTCGGAAGCTGAAACGGGAAGCACAGCAGGCAGTCCTGTTGCTGTTAAGCCACTTGAAACAGATACGTATGGTTCGGGTTGTGACATTGTTATTGTGGAAAAGTGTTCTCCTTTGGACCTGCCGCTCCTTGTACCCGTACATCTGGATGTAATGAAACGGCTTGTCCCTCAACTGCTGCACCAAGTACGCCAGGTACCTTTTGCTTCTGTTTTCTTTTATGTTTTCAGTGTGTCTGAATATTGTTTATTCTCGCAGGTATTAATTATTTAAACTTTCATTCCACATAGGTGAAACAAGGTATAAAAGTGTGGAGTAATAAAATTGAAATATAAAAAAATAGAAAAAGAAATAACGTTCCTAACTTCAGCTATTGCTTTAATATTTCTCATAGCTGTCTCTCTCATTTTTGCCATCAACTCTGCCATTGAGTGGCTGCCTCCATGTCTATATGCTCTAAGGTAACAACCCATGATGAAATGAATTTCTTAATTATAGCTATTACTTATAATAAAAATTTGATATTAATTACAAATAAAATGAAAATTATGGTGACTGCGATTAAATCGAGAAAATATTTCATGCCGAGTTCCCCGTAAGATAGGACCCCATAGTTAGAACCTTCAAACGGCAAGATACGGCAGTGGAAAATGTGCTGGTCAGACCCAAAAATGCCGCACCGCACCGCACCGCAAGGTCTGTGGGGATTGACCAACACGGCGAGTTGGGGACAGAGGAAGACTGGGGATCTTCCTCTGCGACCCAGTTTCCCTGTGGAGGCGTGTCGTCTGGAAGGAAAGCACTTCAGAGAGAGTAGACTCTATTGCAATTCCGGGGACCGTTAATGCACGAAGTTTTTTGGCTGTTGTGCAATAAATTATTTGGCAGACCTCCCGAACGCAAGCACCCGTGGAAAATTGAAGTAAGGTTTATGGCTTATGTCAATCGTTGGGTCGAGCGAGAAAACGAACGAATAGGCAACGCCTGTAGTTTGAGTCGTGGGATGGTTAGCCTTTTTTATGACTGCGTGCGGATTGTCACCGAACCCTGTGGGTCCTTGGCGGACTCGATATGTGCGCCAGGCACTTGACATCTGGCAAGTAAATTGCGTCTGAAAGGGCTCGCTTGTGTTTCCGGGAGGAGCTGGCTCGCGTAGCTCACGTATCCCAAGTACCGGTCGTACTGTGCGCGTTTATATACGAGGAGGCGGGGTCGCCATCCTAATTAACAAAAATCTCCCACATTCCCCTGTTGTTACCAACAGGGTTAGTGGAATAGAATATTGCTTCGCAAATTAACAATCCTAAAAATTTATGTTGGTATTGTGTATGTTCCACCAGTGGTCAACATCACTCCAGCTAGTCTGGATATTCTCACCGGGGTGGGGTCCCCATTCATTCTAGGCGGCAACTTTGCGAAGCACCGGGCTTGGAACAACACCAAGGCAAATAAAAGCGGGATAATCCTCTTTAAACATCGGAGGAATAACTCATACAAGGTCATATACTCTGACGGTCACAACAGGTTCGTACCGGGCGTCAACCCTTCAACGCTTGACATTTTCCTCTGATCGCTTGGCCTGATCCTGGTCCCTCAGACCATACTCCGATACGTCTCAAGCCGGATGCCCTGGACATCGAGGCTGGCATTGATTCTGAAACTGACTGGCTGAAGTACAAGGCGCTGCCGGCTACAATCTTAGGACTGACTTCGGCTCGGCTGGCGAGGTCGATGATGAAATCCGTAGCCTTACATGCAAACTGTATGCGACGAGGCGAGCATCCACCACCAAGATAGACACCTCTAAAACCAGACATGCCTTTATGCATAACGATGCGTACCTTCTAGCTCTAATCAGAAGAAGGACACAAGTCAGGAAACATGCCTAGAACATTGGGGTTTATCAGTATTAGAACTTGATTATACATGACCTAACCAGAGAATTCCAACGACAAATCTCCTATCTAAGAAACAAGGATTGGAATGATAGACTACACTCATTTAGAAAAACAGATTCCACATTTTGGTCAACTTATAAAATACTAACAGGTAGGCACGCCAAAACTCCACTTCCAAATCTTGGTGATGGCGGCTGCATTGCCGTTTCGGCACAGGAAAAAACTGAGATTCTCGCCAACCGTTTCGAGCAGGTATATAGTGATGCCAACGCTGTTGCTTCGCCAGTGCAGGCGGAGGTCGATTAGTTCATCGATAAACTCCTCTCTATTGAAGACGATCACTGGGATCCCCTTGGGGATCTCGCTCCGTATGATATCTACTTCATTATCAAGCGGTTTGTAAATAACAAGGCTCCCGGGAAGGACGGGATTTCAGCCTTGTTCCTGAAAAAGGCCTCGGATAAGATCATTTGCCAGATTTATTACATTTTTAAATACTGCTTAGTAAACTCGTACTTCCCTAAGGCATGGCAAAATTGCTAAGGTGTCGCCTATACATAAACCTCGTAAGCCTTGTGACAAGGCTTCGAGTTACGGGCCCATTAGCTTGCTCTCAATTCTTGGAAAGACCCTTGAGCTAATAATGTCGTATGAAATCCACAATCATTTACAAAGAAATTGCATTCTAATAGATCAACAATTTGGCTTTCGCAGGTCTCATTCCACACTCCACTAAATCACTAGAATAGCCCAACAAATCGCTAATTCTTTAAATACCAATAGGTCTACAGTAATGGTTCTGCTTGACTTAGCTAAAGCTTTCGATTCAGTGTGGCACCACACTCTCGTGTATAAACTCCATCTTTTCGGTTTTCATCATAAAACAGTTCTAATGATATTCAACTACCTTTCTGAAAGAACCTTCTATGTTAAAGCTGATGGGATTGCCTCGACTACCAGGAGCGTACTAGTGCGAGTGCCCCAAGGATCCATACTTGGGCCAATCCTCTTTAATATTTATGTAAATGATATACCATCAAAAATTAATTGCACCTTGACATTATATACGGACGACACTGCCTTGCTGACATCGTCTACTAAACTCTGGGCCGCCTGTACTCGTATGCAAGAGTACATTCAGAAAATTGTCGACTTTTTTGCCAAATGGAAACTGTCCCTTAACGCTGATAAAACTGAGGCCATTGTGTCCTCTAGAAAACATGATCGACCTCCGTGCTCCCTTGATGTCCAGGGTATCCCAATTAACTGGTCTGATAGGGTGACCTACCTGGGTGTGACTTTAGACTCCAGGCTCACCTGGATACCAGCTATGTCAGATCGTAGCCTAAAAACTATGAAGGTGGCGGGTGCGCTCAAAGTACCATAAACATTGCCTCGTCGCATTTAAGCAGAAACATTAGACTCTCTATATACAGAATCTGTATGCGACATACGGATATAATATATACAGGGTGTCCCAGAACTAGTGTTAGGCCTTGAAATGGGGAGGAGCCATGGTGATTTTAAACAACTTTTTCCTTTGCAAAAAAGTTGTTCGAGGCGTGGTAATCGAGTTATTAACAAAAACTCTCGACGAATGAGAGCGCGAGTATACAAGGCGGGCAGGAGCGAGGTAACTGCCTCGTGCGTTGTCGCGCCCGTACGTCGCGCTCGTGACGGGAGCATAGGATGAAAGAAATGTTACATGCAAAAATGAACTAACAAATTGATTAAATGTGAAAAGAAAGAAAGAGATTAGTCGTTAATTACGTTCACTGAACGAATGTAACATACTGAATGAAATAACTAAGAAATTTACAAATTACAGAGTACGTAAAATTATGAAAAATGCGAAAAAAATCAGAGTTGAACTTACTTCTTCGTTGGTCAGTGCACCTGCTCGTAGAAGAACGTCAATGGGTCAATGGGTCGACCTTCGGCACTCGAAGATAGGCCACATGGCTCGCAGCAGCTGATGCTTGGAGAAAGTCAATGACCTGCACCCGACGATTTTTTCTTTATCATTACGATCATTGTCACTTTCCCACTGGTAAATTTTCACAAAACAAAAATTGTCACTTTTACACTTCCCAAATTCACTGCCACTCTTCATTTTACAAATCCACTGTCACATTGAACTTTGCAATTGAAAATTTGCATACACGTTTTCATTTTAATACTTAGCTCCGATCGGAATACTGTTCGCAGAACAATTCCACTGCCGCTCTCGGATTCTAACTCACTT